GAGCCCCCCCATAACCTGTTCCATGAAGGGTGAACCCCCCTAAAGAACCTGCTCCACACAGGGTGAGCCCCCCCATAACCTGTTCCATGAAGGGTGAACCCCCCTAAAGAACCTGCTCCACACAGGGTGAGCCCCCCATAACCTGTTCCATGAAGGGTGAACCCCCCTAAAGAACCTGCTCCACATGGGGTCACCCCCCCCCTCTAGAACCAGTTTCATGCAGGGTGAACCTCCCTATAGAACCTGCTCCAGCCCCCTCAGCCAGACCCAGACTCATTTCGCAGAGAGACTCCATCCTGGGTGAGCTCCCCTTAGCAAGACAATAAGCCTATTCACACCACAATGAAATGCCTTAATTATGGTGTCAGGAAGTGTACTAGTCCTGGGTATGACATTTACTGCATCCAACCTTGCAAGTGGTCTTCCAACTTGCAGGGAAATTATTTGGGGGTTGGTGCCAGGGATTGGCACTCCAGCCGCTGTAAAGACATTTCACATAGCTCCGACAAAGCAGACAGGACTCTGTTCTGCTCTCTGCGGGAGTAGCTCTGCTGCAGCCGCCCACAGTTAGGCTGCACTCATGATGTAGGGGGTGGGGGAATGCCTTTGGGACCCTCATCCCTGAAAGAGAAGAAACCGCCGGAGAGCCAGTGGTATCAGGCCTGTTGGGGATTAGAGTTGTTGTGGAGCTGAGGCGTTGCTCCGACCATGGTGAGTGATGTCTCGATGAGCGAGACATTTTATTTGTAGCTTCGCTTGGTTGTTGATGGGTGCCTATGAGGTGACACTCCTCTGGTCATGGGTGACTTCAGTGTGACCACGGGCACTGACAGGCTTGGCTATGAGGATTGTGTCGGTCCCCATGGGTCTGGCGACCGTGGTGGAAGTGGCTCTATGTTCCTTGACTTTGCAAAAGGTCAGGGCCTGCGGGTCCCTGGATCCTGGTTCCAGCACCTAGGGCCTCATTGTTGGACTTGGTTCTCTAACACTGGTGGTGCAGCAAAGGAGATCAGTCACATCCTCGTGGGCATATGCTGGAGGCTCCAACAGAACTGCCAGGTCTACAGAAGTGGCCAGTTTATGATTTCTGACCACAGACTCATTAGTGCTATTCTGATGATTCAGCTTAGGTCCAGTAGGCTACCACCTACTAGGAGAATTAAGCTGGACCTGGCCAGACTCCAAGATCAAGCTGTGTCTAATGAGTTTGCATGCAGTTTGTATGAGGAACTTCCAGACTCAGGTGCGACTGCTGGAACTAATATGATGTGGGAGAATTTACATGACAAGACCATAAATGTTGCTGAGGTTTGTGTTGGAGGTGCCAGTGTTCCCTGAAGGAGGTGTTTCATCTCGCAGGGCACCCTGGATATTATCGAGAGGAATCGCAGTGCACGGCTTGATGGCAACTCTGGCCTGTACCAGGAACTGAGACGGACAGCTGTGAGGGCTCTGAGGACAGATAAGCAGGAGTTTGTTAGAGGAATCAGTGAGCAAGTGACACACCATCTATGGTCTAGTGACCCATGTCCTGCTTACAGAGGAATCGAAGCACTACGTACACCTGAATCTGCTCCTCGGAGAGTCTCAGTCAGTGTGGGTGATGGAACGGTCCTTACGGATCATGCTGCAGTTGTGACCTGCTGAACCAGGTACTTTGAGCAGCTACTTAAAGCTGATCCTCCAGCTATGACTCTGGACATCTCTGGGTCCACAGTTCTTGAGACTGATCCTCCAATTGGGTGGTTCACAGCTAATCTTACTGAGATCGCACAGGTGGTGAAGCAGCTGAGGGTAGGGAAGTCTGCAGGGATTTATGGTGTCTGGGGTGAACTTCTCCAGGCTGCTTAGTCAGGCTGTCCTCCTGCCATTGCAAGCAGTCTTTACTTCCATTTGGGAGATGGGTGTCATCCTAACTGACTGGAAAAACAGGACTCCTTGTTCCTATCTAGAAAGGGAAGGGTGATTACCCGGATTGCAGCAGCTCAGAAGTTAACACTGCTCTGAGTGCTGGGTAAGGTCTTTGTTAGGATCATCTTCAACAGGATCCGTGATCACTTGCTCACCTACCAGTGACCAGAGCAGTCTGGTTTTACACGTAAGAAGTCTACTATTGCATCCTGGCACTGAGTGAATATTGGCAGAGTTTCTTGCAGCCTTTGTCGATATTCGTAAAGCTTTCGACTTGGTTGATGGAGTTGCCCTGTGGGGCATCCTGAGTCCGATTCTGTTCAATGCTTGCATGGACTGGCTGCTGGGCAGGGTCATGGGGTCCAGTGGCCATGGGGCATCTGTTGGTGAAGAAACATTCAATGATCTTGACATGAAGCTGTTATCCTCGCAGAGTCAAAGGAGGCTCTGATCGGGGCTCTCAAAAGACTGAGCAAGGAGTCTAAGTGGCTGGGCTTGCGAGTATCCTGGATAAAAACCAAGATCCAGGCCTTTAATGACCTCTTTGGCACAGTCACCAGCAGTGTCTGTCTGAATAGATAGTGTCAACCTCATCGAGAGGTTCACTTACCTTCGGCAGTGACATTCATTCCTATGAAGCCAGCAGACAGATTGGGAGAGTATGGGGGGTCATGATATCGCTGGAAAGGAGTGTGTGGCGCTCTCAATATTTTTGTAAGAGGACGAAGGTCCAAGTCTTTAGAGTCCTGGTGCTCCCTGTTTTGCAGTATATCTGAGAGACATGGAAGCTGTCCAGTGACCTGAGGCAAACACTGGACTCCTTTGTGTCTTTCCGGAGAATCCATGGGTATCACTGGTTTGACTTTGTCTCGAACGAACGGCTGCTCAGGGAGTCTCGAATGAGGCACGTTGCCTGCATTGTGAGGGAGCGTCAGTTACGGAAGTATGGCCATGTGGTGAGATTCCCTGAGGGTGATCCGGCTCACAGGTCTTCTTCTTGGAAAAAAGCCTCCTAAACCTAGTACCTCCTTTGGTCTGTTATCATTCCAATCTGCTGCTGCAATGGCTGAAATTTCTACAGAGATCTTTAAAACTGGATAAATTTATATCTGTCAAGGCTTTCAAGAGCCTACTTAGGAACATTTTTTATGACGTGTGCAAATGTTTTAACTATTTTGTTAATGCTTTCTATAAAAAAAAAAATCTTTCCATACATTTCTTTCTATAGTTTTTAAATTGTAAAGAGACTTCAAGGACATCCTGTGTGTGTGACACACACACACACACACACACACACACACACACACACACACACACACAGGATGTCCATGAAGTCTCTTTACAATTTAAAAAA